CAACAACACCAACAACTCAGATCCAAGAAATCCGCGGGGACCGCCAAGAGTTTATGTTGATGCAGTGTTTTTTGTCTCCTATATCGCCGTTAGCTGGCGCTGCTCGACGCCCTCGTCCAGGAGGTAGCTGGCGGTGGCCGAGGGGCCAGGACGGGGCAGCGCGGCCAGACAAGGCCCAGGAGACGCCGATAAACATAAAGGTACATGTATGGATTGATTTGTTTTGTAGATATAGCAACAACAGCAACAACTGCAGCAACAACTACAACAGCAACAACGACAACAGCAGCACCAGCAACAGCACCAACAACAACACCAACAACAACATCACCACCAACAACAGCAACATCAGCAACAACACCAACACCAACACCAAGAACACCAACAACAACACCACCACCAACACCACCACCAACAACAACACCAACAACAGCACCACCAACACCAACAGCAACACCAACAACAATGACAAACACAACACCAACAACAATAATAATAGCAACACCACCACCAAGAACAACACCACCAACAACAACAACACCACCAACAACAACACCAACAACACCAGTCACAACACCACCACCAACAACAACAACATCAACAACACCACCACCACCACCACCACCACCAACACCAACGCCAACGCCAACACCAACTTCAACAACAACAACAACAACAACAACAACAACAACACCATCAACAACATTGGCCCCGGAGACGCCGAGGGAGGCGCAGCCAGCCGCCGAACTCGGCGCCCGCCGAGAGGGGTCGAGCGGCAGCCTCCGAGCGCCTCTCGTGCAGGCCACGGCCCGTGCAGGCGGGCCGCCCCTCCCGAGAGGGTGCTCGGCGAGGCGACGAGGCGGGCAGCGCCGCCGCAGGCATGATCGCGGCGTAAACAACAAAAAATATCGCAGGACGGCGAGGAGGCGACCGCCCGGCGAGCGCGCGCAGGCGACCGCCTGGCGAGCGCAGGCGAGCGAGGGCATTTGTGTCAGCGACCGCAGGCGAGCGCGCCAGCGGCGAGTCGAGTCAGAGCGGGCCGCGCAGAGACGAAGTGACCGAAAGCGGTTGGCCGGAGCCTCACGCGGCACCTCGGCGGCCAGGCCGGCGAGTGGAGGGGTGCTGGGGGCGGCTGCCAGGGAAGCTGCACTGCCAGGGGTTGCACGCATGCAACTCCGCAGGCATAATCGCGGCGTTTTTTTTGTTTTCTATTTGAAAAAATAAAAAGGAACAAAAACAAAACTCAGGACGGCGGGTCTTCGGCCGCTTCGGGCCTCGTAGGGCCCCCGCCGGGCCTCGGGACCGTCCACAGAGACGGCTCAGGAGGAGAAGCTGGTCCCGGGGAAGGGGTCGGGACTTCCGGGGGCGCGGTCCGTGAAAAGATCCGGGCGTCGCATGTCTTCAGGAGGGAAAGAAACACACCGACACAATGAATCGTCGATCCCCAGGAAAATAAAGGAAACTATGGGAAGTGGGGGGGGAAGACAAGAACCCAGAAAATATGGGAAACTATGGGGACTGCTTTTATTTGTGTGCATTCATTTGTGTGTGTTTGTGGGCCCCTTCGTGGCTGGGGCCCTTGTGGGGCCCGTGGAGGCACCCTATAGTTCTGGAGCCCTCCGGCCGAAGACTGCCGGCCCGCACCGCGGCACGGGCGGGGGCGCGCAGCACCGGCCCGCTCCAGGCGGACCGCGGCCTCCCCGGCGCGCGGCGGGGGAGCTGTGGGAACAAAAGCACACAGTGGGAAAAAACACACACACACACACACACGCACACACACACACACACACGCACGCACGCACGCACGCACGCACGCACGCACGCACGCACACACACACACACACACACGCACACACACACACAGACACACACACACACACACACGCACACACACACACACTTTTGTGTGTGTTTTTTCCCCACAGACTTTTTTGCTTTTTTCCCACGGGGAAGCGCCAGGAATCCGCCGCAGGCATCTGCTGCACGCCACAATCACGAGCCTTCGACGCTCAGGCCTTCCCGAAGTCTTCTAGTAAAGTCGCTATACGGCTGCAGCCGCCGTGGAAGCTTGGGCAGGACGCGCCCCAGGAGGGATCCGGATGTCGGTCCTGAGGGGGGGGGGGAAGCAGGGAAAGGGAGGGAACGAGGGAGGGAAGCGGAGGGAGGAGAGGGACGCCAGGGAGGGAGAGATTAGGAGGGAGGGAGAGGGAGGATGGATGGCAGCAACATGCGCCGCGTTGCGCGAGACCCGTCGACCCTGATGGACCAGTGGAGGAGCAGGCCAGCGAAGCCGTCCACCTCTCCATCCGACACCCCCCAGCATCATCAGCATAATGTCCAGTGGCCCACTCTGTCAGATGGGCGTCTCGGCTTTATTTTCCAGGGTGTCCAGTGCGACATTCGGGCCGGGCGAACGGGGGGGATTGGGAAAGGGGGGGGTACGAAATTTGCTGCATGCAGCTGGTTTCGGCCTCACCGAGGGGCCCATTCCTCGATACGTAGCCGCCTCCGGCGCCGGGAGGCGCCGGGAAAGTCAGCTAAGGTGAGCTGATTCTCAAACCCCCCCTTTGCTATCCCCCCCTTTCGCCCGACCCGAGACGTCCGCGGTCTCGGAGGCGGCCTCGTGCAGAGAGCTGGCTGCCCGGGCGCAGGCGTGCAGGGTGTGACCGCGCTCGCGGCGGGCAGGAGAGCGTACACACTGCATGGAGCCGCGCCTCTCGCTCTCTCTCTCTCTCTCTCTCTCTCTCTCCGTACACACTGCATGGAGCCGCGCCTCTCGCTCTCTCTCTCTCTCTCTCTCTCTCTCTTTGTTTATCTCTCTCTCTCTCTATTGTATCTCTCTCACTCTTTTTACCTAACAGCTTGTTCTGATAGGTTTCTGGTAGGGTCAAAAGAGAGCAGCAGATGACTCCACAGGGGGGTCTGGGCGGGTGCCGGACAGGGTGCCGCAGAAGTCGTTTTAAGCAAACAGTCACACACTTCGTGCTCTTCGACCTCCCAGAACTCCATTCCCGGGCCACATTCTGAATGCCCGGAGCCAACTGTAGGCCACTTCGTGGTCTTCGACTTCCCAGAACTCCATTCCCGGGCCACATTTTGAATGCCCGGAGCCAACTGTAGGCCACTTCGTGGTCTTCGAGCCCCAGAACTCCATTCCCGGGCCACATTTTGAATGCCCGGAGCCAACTGTAGGCCACTTCGTGCTCTTCGAGTTCCCAGAACTCCATTCCCGGGCCAGATTTTGGATGCCCGGAGCCAACTGTAGGCCACTTCGTGGTCTTCGAGTTCCCAGAACTCCATTCCCGGGCCAGATTTTGAATGCCCGGAGCCAACTGTAGGCCACTTCGTGGTCTTCGAGTTCCCAGAACTCCATTCCTGGGCATGATTTTGAATGCCCGGAGCCAACTGTAGGCCACTTCGTGTTCTTCGAGTTCCCAGAACTCCATTCCCGGGCCACATTTTGAATGCTGAGGCAGGCTGAGGCTGAGGCTGAGGCAGGCTGATGCTGAGGCAGGCTGAGGCTGAGGCTGAGGCTGATGCAGGCTGAGGCTGAGGCAGCCTGAGGCTGACGCCGAGGCTGAAGGCAGACTGAGGCTGAGGCTGAAGCAGGCTGAGGCTGAGGCTGAGGCAGGCTGAGGCTGAGGCAGGCTGAGGCTGAGGCTGAGGCAGGCTGAGGCTGAGGCTGTGTCTGTGACTGCCGTTGCCACTGCGACTGTCATCGCGAATGCGACTACGACTGCGAGAACAGCACAATTCTACAACTGGATTATCATCTGAATCTTAAGGGGAATGCTTCCAGATATGCTCCTACACATCGCTGTTAGGTTGCTTTGCCGGGATAATTTATTTATCTTTCTCTCTCTCTCTCTCTATCTCGCTCTCTCCCTTTTTTTTGTTCTCTCTCTCTATCTCTATATATATATATATATGTCGATCTCCATATATATAGAGAGAGAGAGAGAGAGATAAATACGCGTAGCACCCCGCAGTTGCGGACAAAAGTGAGGGTGCGGCGGGGACGTCGGCAGTCTGGGAGGCTGGGAAGAGTCCCGCCGCAGGCGCCAACTTATTACGTACAACGGGCCTTCCGCCGGCTCCGATGTCTTCGTTGCAGCAGTGTTGGTGAGTGGGGTGGGTCGCGGGGTGGGTGGGTCGCGGGTGGGTCGCGGGTGGGTCGCGGGTGGGTTGCGGGTGGGTCGCGGGTGGGTCGCGGGGTGGGTCGCGGGTGGGTCGCAGGTGGGTCGCGGGCGGGTCGCGGGCCAGTTCGCGGGGGGACGACGACCACAAACAACAAAACATGACACTGACAACACACAACAAATAACACGCAACAACAAGAACAACAACAACAACATTCCGCACCGCAGAACCTCATGTCAGCCACGCGCCCAAGGTCAGTGAATGACCGTTCGGCCCCCCCCCCCTCTCTCTGTCTCTTTCTCTATCTCTCTCTCTCTGTCTCTCTCTCTCTCGCTCTCTCTCTCTCTCTCTCTCTCTCTCCCCCCCCTTCGCTCCTAACAGCATCTCTCTCTCTCTTTCTCTCTTTCGTGAGTGTGTGTCTGTGTGTTTCCGATTTCTCTTTGTGTATATATACATCTCTCTCTCTCTCTCTCTTTCTTTCGATAGTCTTGATATTTCTCCTTTGTGTGCGTCCTTTGCCTCGCTCTCCATCTACATTCGTTTTTCATTTCTATCTAAATATATCCTTCTCTGCCTCTGTCTTCCTCTCTTTCTCTCTCTGGCTCCCTTACTCTCTGTCGAGGGCGCAGTACGTACGCTCGCTCTCTCTCTCTCTCTCTGTCTTTCTTTCTCGCTTCCTCGCTCAGCACACTAGGAGTGGCAATCTGCCGTGCGAGTCGCCGCTGAGGCGAAGTGAGGCCGGGGCAGCAGGAGAAGGATTACAGGATGACGATTCGAATGTGGCGGAGTTCGGGGTAGAAAGCCAGAACGATGAGAATGCGGCATGCTTCTCTGCAACTTCTTCATGGGCTGTGGAAAAGGGGAGGGTTCGGCCCATGAGCAGAGAGATGCTGGACGCGCAGACCGAAGAGCCGATGGACCTTCCATACTTCCGTGGGAGGCAGCTGCCACGTCCACGCATGCCAGATTCCCAGTAGTAGAAACTTGATCAGCAGGAGCAGGATGCGTTTGAGGCCGGAGGAAGACACCGACGAGAAGGGAGGATACTGACCACACGGAGGAGGAGGAGGAGAAGGAGGAGGAGGAGGAAGAGGAGGAGAGCAATGACGGGAACGCAGTGAGGGGGATGAGAGAAGCATGATGAGGCGAAGCATGCCGAAGGGGAGACTTGAGAATTACAAGGGTTAAGGATCAATGGATGTTGTTCCACGTGCGGTATATCTCAAGAGCGGAGGAGGAGGAAGCGGGGGAGGGGGAGGAGGATGAGGAGGATGCCGGGATGGCCGGAGGAGTTGATCAGCCAGGTGGCGCCAGGTAGAGCAGGACACAGTAGGCCAACTAAGCTGGTGAGGGGTGGGTAGCCAAGGGGCCAGATGGGGAGCCGAGCGGGCTTCACTTGACCAGGCGTCGGCGCGGGGGAAACAGGGCAGAGGGGGCCACGTGCGAAGCAGCGGCAGCGTCATGAGCAGAGGGATGGTTTGGGAGGGTGCTGCCTGCCTGGCGTGGCTTCGTTTCACCTCACCTCGGTCCGCCTCGCTTCGTTCTTTTCCCCTAAGAAAATTATATATATATATATATGCATATATGAATACATATATATATATATATAGAAAATAAAAATATGAAAAACAAGCAAAAACAGCCTCGCTTCGTTCTTTTCCCGGACAGCAGTTTACCTTGTCGTGGCTGGTATCCTCCACTTGCTCACACAGCCTCGGCCGCTCCTCTTGTACTCGCTTCTTGCTGCGATCGCACGTGCGACCGCACGCACCACTCTGCGCTTGCCTTCCCCAGGCGGTCTCTCCTGTCTTCTCACATCCGTTTCCTTCCCGCGCTATCCACCCGACCCCGCGCTCCATATCGCCCCCAAGAAGGAGGAATAGGGTTTGGAAGAGGAGGAGAAGGAGAAGGAGGAGGAGCACCCTGCGGGAACAGGAGAGCGGAGCGGTGACGCGATCAAGTGGGGAGGTGTGGACGATGAGGTGGGTCATGGCATCGACGAGGAGGAGTGTGGAGGATAAGGAACGCCAGGATCAGGAGCATGTGTTTGGCGAGGATGGGGGGATGGGGGTGTATCTGTTCTGGAGTCGGAGCAAATGGGATGGCGAGGGGACAGGGGGCAGCGCGGGGGCGGAACAGGGCAGAAAGGGTAATCACGGTAATGGGAGCGAGGGGGAATCCGTTGAGGAATAGCAGAAGACCCGATCATCAGGATACCAAGGAGGGCAACGATCCACAGGAGAAGGAGCAGCCTCTGCACGGGGGAGCGGGATGAGCAGAGGGGTTCTGATGGTACGGATGTGTAGGGTGAGGGGGCCACGTGGTGCGTGGCAGCGGGTGGACAGGCCAGTGGTTCAGCCTGGTTGTTGCCTGGCTGGGTCCTTGCTCCGCTGAGAACGTTTCCAGATGCTTCGGGCGAGCCGTTTGAAGAGTCCTTGTCGCTCAGTATTCGGCGATCCTAGGCCAACCTTTCCCTCATCCGATGATGAGTCGGAAGGCCGCCGCATTCGAAAAGCAGGCTTCTCGGAGAGACCCGCGGGGCCCGAAGCGTGCCCTCAGAGGCTCGAGCCTAGGACAAATCAGCCGTAGTGTTTTTGTTCGCGGCACCTGGAGGTCAGCATTTGCCTTTGGTCGAATCCTCGTTTTGAGTGGGGCCCCATTTTGATGGGCTCTCAATCATTTTCGATCGACACATGTGGATTCTCACTGAATAAATCGCGTATTTCAGGGTTGGGTTTCTTGTGGAGGTTCCGTGTGGCCGAGCCCCCACTGTAATCCCGTCTGGTCCATCTCAACTTCATGTCATCTGGCCTGATCCGAGTTAGTTTCCCCTTGCCCAGATGTAGTAGCCCCCAGTCGATCTCGCGAAGATCCCCCAGGAGTCGCCTCTCCAGGTCTGCCAAGGGGGGTGCGAGTAAATGGGGGTCGGGGGATCGCGCCGCATTGCCGGTGCCGGCTCGATGCGGAGCCCTACGTTTTCAACGCGTCGGCGATGCGGCGCGAGCCTCCGACCTCATCTACACGGATCCCAGGTGGGAGGCACTCAGCCTCCCAGCCTCTTCCCCGTCCCTCCCTCCCTTCTTGCCGCGGGGGAGGCCCCCCTCGCCCCCCCCACGGCGCTCACCGGAGGCGGCTGTGCCTTCGCGCGAATCCAGCCGTGACGACGTGGGACGGGCAGCGGTATCGCTATCTCGCTTCGTCCTGTGACTGATTTTGCAAGGCGGCCTGCTGACCGGATACGACTGCAAGCAAAAATCCCACGTGCCACGGACCACGCACGTCGTGTGTCACGAGCGGCAGGCGTACTTGCGTCCGCACCCTCGCGGTCTGAGCTCCGGGGCGCGACCCTGCGGACACGCCTTCGCACAGAGACGTTCCGCACGGGGCACTTGCGAAGAAGTGCTCCGTACCCGCGGGGTCGCGGCCCAGAAGCCCCACTCCGTTTCTGTGGAGTCGCGGCCCAGAAGCCCGGCCCGCGAGGTCGCGGATACGCATATGCTTTTCGCCCACGAAGGTTTGATGTCCCGCGCGCAGTCACGACGCCGCCTCGTGATTGCCTCCTTGATGCGGGGTTCCCCCCCCCACGGCTCGGTAGCAAATCATGGGAGCCTGGTATACCCTCTTAATTCCGTCTTTAGCGTCGATTAGCGTCGATTGGCGTCTGGGAGTCGATGGGATAGCCCCGATTTAGCGTCGCCTAGCGTCGATTAGTGTGGATTCGCAAGCGCCGACAAGATGGTGTGGGAGGCTCCCATGATTGCCACCGAACCCCCCCGGCGCTCGCCAGAGGCAGCTCTGCGCCTTCACGCTCGCGGCCTCCGCTTCCGCGGCCGGCATCTCCGCCGTGGCTTCCGGGGCGACGGCGCCTCCCCGGGGGGGGGGAGAAAGCCGCAGCCTCAGGCAGTCTAGGCCTTGTGGATGGAGTTGGAGTAGGGAGGGTCGGAGGATAGCGCCGCATCGCAGATGCTCTGCATCTTCGGGGGACCTCGCCTGTCCCCGAAACTGGTGTCTTCTTTTATGCCCGACGCGGGCTCGAGACGGACACGACGCGGATTTGACGTTAATTCAACGCGGATTCGATTCGGATTCGATGCGGATCCGACGAGTCCGACATGGATTCGGCGCGGATAGGGCCGCGACGGGACATACAAGGTCCTTCGAGGATGCAACATGAGGAGTAGAGAGGGTTGGAGGATCGCGCCGCATCGCCGATGCATCGGCGATGTGGCTCGATGTGTAGTCCGATTTTATCCACGCTGGCGTCGCCGATGACCCGCCGACGTCGCCGATGCATCGTCGATGCATCGGCGAGGCGGCGCGATCCCCCGACCCCATCACCTCGGACCCCGTCTGGGAGGCCTCTAGATAGTAAGTCACAGAAGCTTCCGGTGTCTTGCATTGAACGTGTATCGTCGAATAACGTCAAATCGGGTCTTGTAGCGCGCGCGCCGCGTAAAATAGCCCTCAGCATCGCCAAATAGCGCCAACACGGTGCCAAATAGGGAGATGCGTCGCGTCCGTTTTGTACGCCATTGGAAACGCTATTGGGCGCCATGGGGACGACGCGAAACTTTCGTGAGTTGCTTTCGCACCGCAGCCCGCCCGCCCCTTCGGGCGCCGCTCGGGGCCAGGAGGGGACGAGGCTTCGAGGATACTTAGAGGAAGAAATGTCTCGATACCGTTACCTCTGCCCAGTAGCAACCCATGGGGAACTCATGGGAGCATATGACGTCCTCGGAGTTATGTCTTCAGACTGCACTGGCGTGCGCTAGCTTCTGGTAGTCGCTGATGCAGTGCAGGTCTAGCGTCGATTAGCGCAGATTTAGGGCCGAATAGCGCCGACGAGCGTCGGTTCGCGACGGTTCGCAAGAGCCAGCTGGGAAGCTTCCACGAGCTATCACAGATCGCTTGCGTCGTGCTCGCCTCGCTCGGCTTCCTGGGAGGCCCTCGTCGCCACGGCCGCACTCGCCCCGACATCCGACTCGCGGCACGCACCCCCTGGAGCAAGCCCGCGGAGCTGCGGCACCCTTGCCCTCTGCGGCCCGCTCCGCCTGCGCCCCCATGGGCCGCCGCTCGGGCCCCCCTCTGGAGGCACCGAGAGGCCTCTCTCTCTCTCTCGCTGGGCCTCCCGGCTCGGGGCCCGGGCAGCCGGGGCCGGCGGAGGAGCGCGCCGGCGCGCCGTCGCCGAGGCATCGGCGCCGCGCCCGCGAGGCCCCCCGAGGCATCGGCGCTGACCCCCGGCTGGGAGGCCTCCAGCTTTTCTCGAGGGCCGTCGCGCGGCACATCCCAGCCGCGCGGCCGGAGGGGAGGTCGGCCGCCGGGCAAGCCCAGCTCGGAGCGCCGCGGGCGCGGCGTTTTTTTTGTTGTTGTTTTTTGTTCGGGGGGGAGCGGCCCGGTGCGGCGGAGGGGCGCCAGGGCCCCGCGTTCCCCGCCTGCGCGCCCGGGGAGAGGGCCGGCCGCTGGGGGGGGCAGCGGGAGGGGGGATGTGGGCGCGGGGGGGGGAGCCCGTCGGCCCCCAAGGCGCGGCCCCTAAGGCATCCATGGATCATCGCCCTTTTGCGGGGCCCGATGGCCCCACGCCCCGCCCGGGCGGGTACGGTTGCGCTCTGGGGGGCCCGTCGCCGGTCTGTCGGCGATGCGTATAGCGCCGCTTCCGGGTCGAGGCGTGCCTCCCTATGGGCCAGTCCCCCGCCGATCGTTGCCCCTCTGCCGTCGAGAAGGCGTGCCAGCGCGCAGTGCGCGCGTGAATGTGTGTGCGTGTGTGTGTGTGCGTGTGTGTGTGTGTGTGTGCGTGTGTGTGTGTGTGTGTGTGTGTCTGTGGGTGTGTGTGTGTGCCTGCGTGTGTGCGCTTGTTAACCGCATGCCGATGATAATAAAGGGACCCCCCCCTTCAGTGTTTAGAGTTGATTATCGTCGCCCTATACAAAATTCAAATTGGGCGGCGAGCGCTGAGGCCGAACTTCATTATCACCTCGAAACGCTATGTTGAGATAGCAACATCAAGCGATGTTGATATAGCAACATCAAGCGAAGCGATCACACTTTTTCAGGATGTGTCAAGCGAAACCAATAATTTTGGGAGGCAGACTCAAACGAAACGAGCAATGTTCTTATTATTATTCTACTTTCCTCTTCTTCTTTTATATTTCTATCTGTCCTCACGCTCGCCTGAACTTTTTTATCCCTGGGGTTGATTATCCATGGAAAATGAAGCACATGAGCTACCCTACACGAGCACTTAAAAAATCAATTTTCATAAAGCGTTTGTAAATTAAAATTGATAGATTTGGAACTTTGGATTTTTCCTTTCTTCGTCCTCTTCTTATTATCCTCTTCTTCTTCTTTCTTATTATTATTCTACTGTATTCTTCTTCTTTTATATTTCTCTCTGTCCCCACGCTCGCCTGAACTTTTTTATCTCTGGGGTTGATTATCCATGGAAATTGAGGCACATGAGCTACCCTACACGAGCACTTACAAAAAACAATTTTCATGAGAGATAAGCCATTGTTGAGGATATTTCTATGAAAACTAAACGCCAAGGATGTCTCAAAACGTGCTCGGCTTGGTCTCCTCTTGATCATCTCTTACTTCGAGATTATGCTGAGGTCTGCTGGGCTACTTTTATTATCTCTCCCTGAACCCCGAACTTTATTATCCCCTAGTGTTTATTCTCACGGGCATGAGGTTATCTCATGTTGGTGTCTTGTTTCCCCCCTGCCGCTCTTCGGCGTCGCTGCTTCTCCAGGGTCGGTGCTGGCCCTCGCCGCAGCAGGAGGCCATCAGGCTTGAGCCAGGTAGCGCTCTGTGCGTAAGGAGGAGAAGTACCAACATTTCGTAAGGGCGCAGGCTGTGAGTGCCATCCCGCGTTGAGCCCGATGTTGGCGCCCCGGCCGCGCTGCGATCTTGCCCCCGCATTTCGAGATAGGAGCCCAAACGTTGACGATACCGCCACTCCTTTCATATTCGAGCGGGAGTGTTAGATGGGATGTTGGTAGGGCTTTTGCCAATGGGGTAATTTGATGCGTGTGTTTTCCATGAATTGGTTTCCGCTTTTGACCAGAAACTGACTGAGGACCGCGTGGATAGACAGCGCGATGACATGTATTTCTAAGTCATCTCAGGCTTCCAGTTTTATTCAGACCTCGCCATCCCTGGGGTGGTGCGAGCTGCGAAGCAATCGCCACTCTCGTGGGCTGCCAGGGGGTCCAGCGCATTGACGTCCTCAGGCATATTCGGATTAGACCTGGCCATCCCTGGGGTGCTGCGAACTGTAAGACCGCCTCCACTTTCGTGGGCTGCCGGGGGTGTCCAGCGTAGTGCGCTGCTGCGCGGAGTAGAATGGCCATACGGTGTTGTCACGCTTCGCTATCCCCCCGCGAGTCGTGCCACGCGCGGGCCTCCCACGAGTCGTCTACACCACCATTGGCTTCCCGTCGAGTCACTGTGCAGCACGCTGTGGCCCATTCTTGTGCTCTTTTGTGGCCACGACGGGGGGGGGGCGTCGGCCGAGGCCTGCCCCAGGGGGGCCCCAGACCCCGGAATCCACACCTGGAAGCGTCTGGACTCGTGGGCGAGAAGCACACGCACCCGCAGCCGCGGCCTCGCGGGCCGGGCCCCCTGGGCCGCGACCCCGTGGACACGGGGCGTGTCTCCGCGGCTGCACCGCGCGGGCCGTAGCCGAGCGACCGCGCCCTTTGGAATCCAGATCGCGAGGGCGCGGATGATTACGGACATGTTCGCTGCTCGTGACGGGCCCTCGGATTCCATCTCCAATGAACCTGCACGCTGGTCGTCGAGAGCTGGTATCCTCCGATTTTGCAGATCCCAATCTGCTTCCAGCGCCCTCCGACTTCGAGAAGCGACATCATGGTTCCACCTACTCCTCTTGACAGGCGGGTATTTTTGTTCACTGTCAACCCGCATAGTGAGGATTAACGTCTTTCCAAGGTTACCCTTGCATCCTTGCCCCTTGGGCCCATCCTTGGCCGCTCCCGCTGGCCGCGCCGCGCTCGCATACTGTCGACATGGCATTCCGAGGCCCTTCCATCCTTGCCGCGCATCGTTCTCGCATTAGGGAAACCGAGAGGTACCGATACCGCTACTCATTGCGAGGCGAATCCAGCAGTGGCGACGAGCGCCTCCCAGGAGGCCCAATAATATCGGAAAACGAGGGAAGGGTATGGGTATAGGTACTTTTCCTCCTCCGATGTACGGGTATTCCGTACTTCTCCTGACTAGCAGGCACTCGTCCAATGCCTGACCATGGCTGCAGATGTCGGCCACGCGCAGAGGGGGGGCAGGGGGAGTGGGGCAGGCTTCTGAGAAGCACTCCTGCCTCTCAGAAGGCGCGGGCCCTGCCTGTAGATGTGAGGCCGGCGCCTTCTAGGAAGCCGCCTCCTCCTAAGAAGCCTTCCCCCGCCCCCTCCCCCTACTGCGCGCCGCCAAAGATGGGCTTCGGTAACACGTAAGAGTGACCCTGTCCCAAGAAAGCCTCTGGCCTCCTCCTTTTCCTCCTCCTCCTCCTCCTCCTCCTCCTCCTCCTCCTCCTCCTCCTCCTTCTCCTCCTCCTCCTCCTCCTCCTCTCCCCCCACTCTGCTCCCCCTCCTGCTGCTCTCCTCTGCCTCCTTCTCCTCCTCTTGCTTCTCCTCCACATCCTTCTCCCCCCTCCTCCTCCCTCATCCACCTCCTCCACCTTGGCAGGAGTGACCTTTGGTGCGGGCCCACTGGGGCCCCCCAGTCGCCGAGATTCGCCGAGTGCGTGGCGTCAGCGGCGGCCTGCGCGCCTGTGTTTGGCCCCCTTGGCGGCCCCCGCTAAGCCGCGCACCAAAGGTTACTCTTGCTCAGGGTTAAGTCGGGCCTGTCCCCCTACAGGGGGATGTTCGACGATAAATCAAAAATACCCCCAAACTCATCAAACAACAGCTCCAAAATTGTCTGGGGACAATTTTTTGGGTTTTGTTTGACCTTTTTTGGTGCACTTTTGGGGTATTTCTTATTTTTCGGCGAAAACACTCTTTGATTGTGTCCCTTGGGCATTGCTTCACGAGTGGGCGATAAATTGTGGGGATGAGAGGAGCGTGCACATTTTGTGCCCTTTTCGGGCTCGGGCCCCTCCCCAGGGCGCCCCTGTAGCGCCCCGTGGGGGGCACAACACATGCACCTTTCTTCTCCCCCCCCCCTGCTCATCGCCCCCCCCCATGACGCAACGCCCGAGTCCCCCGATCGCTGAATGCGGTGCGGCATGAGCGTCCTGCGCGATTGGGTGCGGCCCCTCCCCCTCCCCGCCGCCCCCGAAGGTCGCGCACGCAGGGGGGCACTCATGCCGCGGGTCGTCCCTGCGCACGGCCGGTGCTCTTGTTCCCCGAGCGAACGGGAGTGCGAGTCCGCACGGACCCCGCAAGACAAGCACGCACGTGGTAGCGACTAAAGGTTGAACGCGCGCGCATCATATCATCGCCCGCCCGTCGATACCATAAATCAGCAAATTCGGTCTTGCTGACCCGTGAAGGGGCGTCGCATACTGCATCGATCCCAACTCTGTGCTCGCTACCAGATTCTGGGCGTCTCATCACCCATCTACGGCTAGCTCCCACGAGCGTATCCCACGATGTGCTTCTGCGTCGCGAGCGGTATACTTGTTTTTGTTGTTGCTGTACGTCTCTTGAGACATAGCTCATACTACATCGTTGGCGAGACGCTGGTACAGCCCGACGGTGGATATTACGCGCCGCCGAAGCCTCTGGAGATCTTTGAGTAACCACCACGTGCGGGCACTTTGGGCAGCTGGTTTTCGTTTCGGAGCCATTTTTACAAACCGCATTGGGGCCATACTCTTCTGGTGCCGTACTGTTTTAGAAAGCCCAAGCAGTGAAGCATCATGACGAGCCCGCTGAGCGTCCGTCCAGACATCGTTGTATGGGGAATCGCTGGAGTTTTGGAGTGGAGTGGCTCGCAGGAGGCCGCCGGGTGAAAGATGCCCTGCGTTGACAGCAGATCTACGTGACTGACTGCGCTAGCGATGCTTTGACGGCTCAGGAGAGCGAGGGAAGAGCAGGTGGAAGAGGAGGATGAGGGGGGAGGACAGGGGAGGAACACGAGGAACATTTTCGGCCATCCTACTCCTCCTCCTCCTCTTCCTCCTCGTTCCTCGATGGTTCTGGGGCAGGCGCGCTTCCGGATGTGCTACCACGACGTCGGCCAGGCTGCCTCTAGCATTCTTTGTTCCGATCTGCTGCGATCCCGGCGCAGCGCCACGTATGGTGAGGGCCGGTTTGTTGGACCCGAAGCTCGATGCTGCCAGGCATAATAAATCGATCGACTCTGTGTAACGCAGTATCAATCATCATAGTTGTTTCGCTCTGCTGTATGTGGGCAAGCATGGGAACATGCGCTGGCGACCTATGTCCTTTTAGTCCTTGGTTTCGTTCACTTATTTGTGTTCCTCCACCTCATCCCGCCTTCTTTTCCCAGCCATCTAAACACAGGGCCGCGCAATCTTGCAAGGGGCACTCCATTTCCGCATACCCTGTCGACAAGAGGATGTTCCTGACGACGACGTCACTATGCCACTAGGAGGAACATCACGGGAAGTAGAAGCCCATGTATCAAAGCCGCGACCAGTTACCCCAGCAGTTGTAAGACAATCGTTGGTAGAGCTACGTAGCGTTCCATTGCGTAGTGCTTCAAAGGTGGCCCAGGCTGTCTCCACGGGGGGTCTTGGCGGCTGCGTGCACGGCGCCGCCGCGGTGTCGGATAGTGTTTCTTGTCGAGTACTGTACGCTGGTTCGTGGGCCACCCTGCTAACACCGGTCCAAAACCACTCAAATCGCACAGGCGCTCGACACCCACACATCGACTTAGGTTTTCACACACACATACATATATGGTCCCGGGCTCCGGGCCCACGGGCCCCCCCCCCCAGATGGAATGGTCCCAGGATTCCTCGGGCCCCCCCCCCCAAGATGGTATGGTCCCAGAGACGACGACGACGACGACGGCGACGACTACGACGACGGCGACGACGACGACGACCACGCCGACGACGACGGCTGCGGCGGCGACGACGCCGTCGGCGGCGGCGACGACGACGATGACGACGATGACGACGGCGACGACGACGATGACGACGACGACGACGACGACGAGGACGACGAGGACGACGACGACGACGACGACGACGACGACGACGACCTCTGAAGCACCACAGCACCACACCACATCCACAGGGGGGGGGAGGGGGGCACCGCAGCGCAGCACCACGCCACGCCCACCTCTGAACCACCACAGCACCACACCACATCCACAGGGGGGGGAGGGGGGCACCGCAGCGCAGCACCATGCCACGCCCACAGGGGGGGGCGGGGGGGACCATCGCGCGGGGGGGAGGGGGGGGCCAGATGGCATCAGCATTGGGGGGGAGTGGGGGGGGGGGCCCAAGCCCTGGACCATATATACATGTACCTTTTACATGTATATATGTATATGCATTTGCAGGTACATAGACATACAAATAAACATACAGCAATCTATATATTTGCACTTCAATATGCATCCATATTTACAGTTGTACACATACACCTACATGTATACATGTATATATACATGTACATGTGCAGATGTGTATGCACACATATATATACACATCGATACAATCATATTCATCTTCACATACGTTCGCATATAGCGACACCCAACCACATATATATATATATGTGTATATATATATAAACATACGCCTGTGCATAAGCATACACATATACCTTTCTATATGTATTTGATTTTATGCGCATAACCATACGCATGTGTATATACAAATGCATATGCATGCACGCATTCGTATACATGTATGCGTTTATGTATATATGTGTGTGCGTGTACATGTGTGCATGTAAGTATATATATATATATAAAAAATACATGTATACATACATATGTGGGTACATATGTATGAACTGTTTCCATGAACAGCGCGTGCAACTACAACGCCTGCTCAGCCTTAACATATCCAATCGTCGGCTCTGGAATCCGAAGCTTCCTTGGAGCCTTTGGGGAGCCTTTTCGGGACCCTCTCAGGACCCTTTCTCAGACCCTCTCCAGAGCATATCCGAGTTTTCTCAGGGCCATCCCATCATCGTTTCAAGAGCCCCTCAAGACCCTCTCAGTGCCTTCTCGAGATCATCTCTTGAGCCTCTCAGCAGCATCTTGGCATCGAGACCAGCGCCCCAGAATTTCCCGACCCCGTCCACGGGACCAGCCTTTCCGTCCCTAGTCCTTTCTTGTTCGATTGTCCTGGGGCCAGGCATTTGCTACGGGAGGCCCATGACGGCCGAAGTCTGGCCGTTCCGATGTTGTCCAGGCCGCTGGGTGTCTGAGGTATAATTGGTCTGTCACAGCCTCGGCCAATGCTCGGGCAGAGGTCGAGCAGCGCGCGTCTCGCCCTTGGGGGCCGCGAGAGGGTCGAGAGATGGCCCGAGTGCAGACATCGAGCCGCCGCCCCGGTCGCGAAGGGAAGGAGCAGCAGCAGAAGCAGCGGAAGGAGGAGGAGGAGGAGGAGGAGGTGGAGGTGGAGGTGGAGGTGGAGGTGGTGAAGGAGGAGGAGGAAGATGATGATGATGATGATGATGAGGAGGAGGAGGAGGAGGAGGAGGAGTAGGATAATGGGGAGGAGGAGGAGGAGGAAGAGGAGGAGGAGGAGAGGAGCAGGCTTTTTTCGTCTGGGGTTCACGGCGGCTGCCGCGTTCTGCCCTCGTTCCTCGAGGATCGTGGGTTGGGAGAGGGCAGGCCGAGGGTGCCGAGCCACGGGTGGTCCACCGCAGTATTGGATATTTGCCCCCCCCTCCCCCTCCACAATTATTCAATATGAATACTACTCTCCCTCTTCCCCTGATGACGGCCTAGGAGTGTCCGACCCCCCTCCGCGTACTGATTTTTAGCACAGGTTTCCCCGGAGTTGGGTTTTCGCTTGCATTTGTTTTCAAAATGCTGCTCTTGCTGAGGCGCCCGCCTCATTTTCGGGCCCCACTCGTTCCGAATCGTGCTCCCGCTGCAGCCCTGGCCTCATTTCCGTGCTTCCGCTCGTTCCGAATCGTGCTCCCGCTGCAGCGCTGGCCTTATTTCCGCGCTTCCGCTCGTTTCGACTCGTGCTCCCGCTGCAGCGCTGGCGTCATTTCCCGTGCCATGCCACGGCATGCAATGCAATGTTAGGTTGATACTACGCTTCGCGGTGCTCTTCTACGCCATGCCATGCCGTGCTCTACAATGCATCGCGTACCCTTTCGGGATCATTGCCCTGCTCGACATCCGACTGTGCGAGTAGAGAGGGGATCTGCGCCATGGTAAGGGATGGGAGGGAGGGGTAGGATGTCAGATATGACGCGAGCGCACCTAGCTTGCCCCCTCCCCCTCCCCCTCTCCCCCCCCCTCCCTCTCCCTCCCCCTCTCCCTCTCCCCTTCCCCCCCCGCCCCCTCCCCCCCTCCCCCTTCCCCTCCTCCCTCTTCCCCCTCCCCCTCCCCACCAAAACGCTGGGGAAGGCGCGCGAGGCCCGCATGGCTGAGGCGGTAATCTTGCGAGAGAGGAAAAGGGTGGGACATGCTGGGTGGTGGTGTGGTCTGGACGTTTTTGGCTTCCTGTTAGGCCTCCACGGGCCTCTTCTTGGCTCCCATGGCCGTAAATAGTAGACTAGGAAGCAAATCCAGTCCCCAGAAAGGGGTCGAGGTCCTTTGGGGCCCAGTCTCCAGCAAATCCCAATCGCAGAGGTCTGGGTAAGGCTGGTGGAGGGGATCTCCACGGATTCATGGCGCCAAGTTACGTTTCGACACAATCGTCTGCACGCCAGCGCAGCCGACCGAGACATCCGACGCATCGATGTGTTTCAAATCGCCATCTTCCCCAGATCGCATTGTTCAATTGGGCGGAAGGCAACGATATCAAACAACTGCTCGGCGGGATTGTTTCGAGCTGCTACGCTCCGCCGAAGGCAGCTGTGCACCACCATCCAGGCCCAGTCCATCATGAGACCCCAGGTCCTGATTGAGGCCAGCATGGTTTACGTGCATACACCATCCTAGGGCCCAGGACGGCCCTGGCATGGTGATAGTGGTGTGTTCAGACCTCACCGCCGCGATTCTCTTACAGCGTGGACCCGCGGCCGTCTCCACCCCTTCCCTGGGACAACTGCTCAACGCCCTTCGTGTCCAGCGAGGGTTCCCAAATCAGGCCGAAGCTCGCCAACAAAAGCCCGTCGTGTTTCACCACGCGGGTTGGTCCAGAAACAGGCCCCCTCTGCGTAGCCGGGCCCTAGAAGCCATGTTTGTAGTTGTTATATATATATATATATATATAGATGTATGTATGCATACACATACATTGTCAGAGTCAGGGGGCCGAACGGTCAGTCGTTGTCCCTGGGTGCGTGGCTAAATGAGGAATTCGTGGTGGGAATTCTGCTTGTTGCGCTGTTGTTGTTGTTGTTGATGTTGTTGTTGCTGTTGTTGCAATTGTTGTTGTGGTTGTCGTTGATGTTGCTGCTGTTGTTGTTGTTGTTGTTGCTGTTGTTGTTGGTGGTGGTGTTGTTGTTGTTGTGGTTGTGGTTGTGGTTGTTGTTGTTGATGTTGTTGAATTCTCATTTCTGAAAAATAATGATTGTTGATCCCCCCCACCGGTGCAGATTGTTTTTCTAATCAAAGTGTGCCCCTCGACGCTCGCACCTGGTTTTTTGACAGGGAAAGTCTTCCTGCTCAAACTGGGCCCCTGGCCCCCGGGTTACAACAACAACGGCTCCCGCCTGAGACTTCCTTACAATTTAGCCAGGACCCCCGCTCCCGCCCGAGCCTTCCTCGCATTGTATTCAGGAATCGTGCTCTCGCTGGGGGCTTCCTTTCAATTTATTCAAGAATCGCTCTCCCGGCGCTCTGGAGTCGCGCTCTCGCTGGAGACTTGCTTGCATTTAAAGAAGAATGGCCTAGCTTTGGGATTTCCTGCAATTTGCCCAAGCTCCGTGCTCCCGACACCCAGGCACCCATGAGTCGCGCCCGTTGTGGCCCCATGTGCATGCCCTTCGTGGCCCCGCTGTCGCCATTTGTGCCCCCCTCACTGTCCTACGTGGCCCAGTTGCTACCCTCAGTGGCCCCATAGTTACCTTCTGTGGCCCCCCATTATCTGCATTTCGTGGCCCCCGCTCGTTCGCGCTCTTCGTGGTCCCATACGCATTCCCTTCGTGTCCCCGCTGTCGCCCTTCGTGGCCTACTTCGTGCCCTTCGTGGCCCTGCTGTCGTTCTCTCTCGCTCTCGCTTTCGCTCGTCGTCGCCGTCGTCGTCGTCGTCGCCGTCATCTTCGACGTCGTCGTCGTCGTCGTCGTCGTCGTCGTCGTCCTGTCCGTCCCTCTTGGGGTCGGGTCGACGGTCCGCGGCCGCCCCGCCGATCAGCGCTGCCGCTGGCCAGGCCGACGGTCCGCGGCCGCCCCGCCGCTTGCCGGGGCCCGGCTTGCAGCGAAGACGAAGAGGGCGGGTATCGAGGGTTTGGGAAGTACGCGTTATTGGACACTCGAGCATATAAGGGCGAACAGTCTTAACATGATTGTTGTTGTTGTTGTTGTTGATGTTGTTATTGTTGTTGTTGATGTTGTTGTTGTTGGTGTTGTTGTTGTTGTTGTTGTTGTTGTTGTTGTTGATGTTGTTGTTGTTGTTTGTTGTCGTCGTCCCACCCGCGACCCACCGCGACCCACCCCGCGACCCACCCGCGACCCACCCCGCGACCCACCCCGCGACCCACCCCGCGACCCACCCCGCGACCCACCCGCGACCCACCGCGACCCACCCGCGACCCACCCCGCGACCCACCCGCGACCCACCCCGCGACCCACCCCGCGAGCCCACCCCGCGACCCACCGCGACCCACCCCGCGACCCACCCGCGACCACCCCGCGACCCACCCTCAAGGGTGGAAAAACCACCCAGACCCGACAATTGACGTTTTTTAAATCGGCCCTGGGCGTTGACTAAACATCCTTGCCCTGTTCGATTCGTTCCTTGTGTGCGTTTACTAAACGACTTCGCATGTCGGGGTGATTATGATGGGGTGAATTTTCTGCCCTCTACACCCGCGACCCACCCGCGACCCATTTGTGACCCACCCGCGACCCATTTGCGACCCACCCGCGACCTACCTACGTTGGTTCAACCAAAAAATCGGCGCCTGCGGCGGGCTCGTTGTATGATTTGTGAAACTTGGGCGCCTGCGGTGGGCTTCTCCAGGATCTCGCAAACTGCCGACGTTCCCACCGCCCCCTCACTCTCATCCGCATCTGCGGGGTGCTACGTTATACACATATATTTATATATATATATATATATGTACGTGTATATATATATATATATATATATATGTGCGTGTGTGTGTGTGCCTACATTCAAACGAAGAAAACAGAAACACCAAACAAGCTAGAAACCCAGGTCTCTGCCAGACCCAGCGGGGGAGGCCGAAGAGTGCGGGTGCAGGCTGCGACCCGCGGCTGCAGTCGTCCCGGGACGCGTCGGTGTCCGGGCGTGCGGTAGGCCGACGCGTCGCGCCGTGCCCTGGCGGTTCGGCGGCGGCCCCCACCCGCGGGCGCTCCAGGCGCGCCAGTGGCCCAGGGTCGCCCAGTATTTGCGCACCGCTTGGCGGTCGGCCGGCCGCAGATCGTGCATCGCTCGAGGTCGAGCGAGCGGTCCACGCGGTGTCAGAGACTGCAGGCGGGGCGCTGAAGAAGGAAGCCTCTTCGTCTGGGCGGGGCTCCAGGTTCCCCAGCTGTCTGGCAGTCTGCTTCAGGGCTTCCGTCGGTCTTCACGTCTTCGATGCTTCTTCTCGTTCCTTGTCCAGGGTTCCTGAGGTCAACGCCCCGACTGCACCGTCGGGGTCGTCACGACACGCACGCCTGCTATCAGAGTCCCCGCCGAGGGGGCCCACCGCGTCGCCGCGCCCGCAGCGGCCCACCGCCCCCGCCCCTCCGCGAGGCCGCGGCCCTGGCGTCCGCGGCGCTCGCGCTGGTGGCCGTGCTGGCGTCCTCGTGCGGGTTCGTTCGGGGCGCAGGCCTGGGGATCATGCATAACGGAGCGACTCGGGCGTTGCGCCATGAGGGGCCGACAAGTGGGTGGGGAGGAGGAGGAGGAGGAGGAGGAGGCGGAGGAGGAGGAGGAGGAGGAGGAGGAGGAGGAGGACCCCTCCCTTGTTCATCGCCCCCCCACCAGCAGCGCCGCCCCGGAGACAACCACATCCGCCCGCCAGGGGCCGAGAAACCCGCTCCTGGCGGCCCTCCCCCCCCAGGCCGACCCCGACCCGCCAGCGGTGATGCCCTGCGCGCGGCGCCAGATCTCGAGTGCCGCGCGCAGGCCGTCACCGCCGGGAGGTCAGGGTGGGCCCGGGGGGCGCAATGGCACGCTGCCGTGAGAGTGTTTGTTGCGACCCTCGGGGACAGAAAGCGCGTTATGCCGCCTACCCTCCCCCCCCCCTTCCCACTAAAACGCAACGCTCCCCCCCCCTTCCCGACCCTCCCCCCCCCACTGTAACGTACCGCTTCCCCCCTTAGAACGTAACGCGCGTTATGCCCCCTACCCTCCCCCCCACCATAATGCCACGCTCCCCACCTCAGTGCGTCCGCTGCACTGCCGCAGTGCGTCCGGCACCACAGTCGGGGGGGGGAGGCGCTACGTTATTTATGCTCTTTCTTGTTCCCCCCTTGCCCCCCCCATCACGCCCGTTATGGCCGCGAACAAAGGAATGCGTTCCGTCTGGGGAAGTCCACGTGTTACTCCTTCGCTGGTGTCCGAAAAACGGGTGTTTGTTCAACAGGGGCATTTTGATGAGTTCTCCTCCACGGCGGCGTGTGCTTAATCTGGTTTTACCTCCCAAGATGTTTGAGGGATGTCTCGTGCCGCTGGAGACTCGGCAAAACAGTCGCGCCAGATATTCGTTGCACATGTCAGCATCCAGAGATTTAGAGTTGCTTGCGACTCGAACACATCGAGCCGATGGCGATCTAGCTGACCCTCATCACCTCCCTGCTCCCGCTTCGCGATTCTCCGATTCCTATTCTCCGATGGACCATCAGCAGACAGGGTTGCCAATTCTGGGTTCGCGGTGGACTGCAAATAGGAGTCAAGTGCGTGCGTTGTCTCCAACTCGCCTCTTCCTTCACATTACCCGAAATAGCACAACGTCCATCCCACCACCGTGCTTGGGTTGTGGGTATGAAGTCTATTGGATGTTCGTTGGGATCTCGTGGGAGGCCTCTCGGGGGCTTCTCGGAGACAGTTTGGGGGCCTCTTGGGGGCCGTTTTGGGCCTCGTTTGGGCATCTTGGGGGCATCTTGGGGACTCTTGGGG